TTTTTTTAAAGTGTTGATATCATTGCTACTCTGTAGAATAATATACTTAATTAAACAGTGTACATAATCATGATATCTGTTATTATAAAATAATTCAACTAATTCATTTGAATCATTATATAGGTTTAAACCTCTGATTGAAGAATCTATTAATCAAGAACTTGGAATCAAGACACTTAATATTTTATTTAGGGAGGGTAGTTGGAATTCCTTTAGCCACATAGAAGTACCACATGATAATTTAATAATAAATGCCAGAACTGTAATGAGAGACCTGGTGACAGATCACAATTTTCATCTTAAAAAATTTTGCATCACACAAATAGTGCGATGTAGATTTTTTGAAGTGCTTATAATTTACAATAAATTACTAACTATTTTATGTAGGATTTGTAGAATTGAAAAAAAAAGTAATAATTATGTGAAATGTGTGACATATCTTTTTGACACAATTAATTATACAGTAAAAATGTTTTATTTTATGCTTACAATTATGGAAAAACTAAAACTATCAAAAATATGGTTACCTGAAAGATTGTATTCTAACTTGCTTTCAACACATCAATTAATACATAATTATGTAATTGATCTTAAAACTTATAATGTAACACGAAATGTGTTTATAAATACACCTGAAGTAAATATTGAATATTTAGCTAATGATTACATGATGAGTTTTCAAAAAGCAAGATTACAATTTTCCAATAAGTTACGTAAATTAAAACAAAACCAAAAAAATAACTGTTATTCAGAAGGTTTATTGGTGACTACAGAAAATCTGGAAAATAAAGTTACTAATATTGCACTTGTTGTTAACTCATCAATGGCAAATGATACATCTGTCACCCAATATGAATTATTTTCGAAATATTTGTATGAATTTTGTGAAAACTTTATTAAAACTGATTATAAAGATACATGTTTTTATAAAATACATCAAAATTATTTTTGAAAATTGCCATAATCCATTTTTGTTATTAAAACTAAATATAAAATTTAAGTAATCGAAGCACGTATTTTATGTTTAATTAGAGTTATTCATATGTATGAGTAAGATCTCTTTTATCAAAATAGGCTTAATATAATAATAAGGAAACATTGCAGGAAGCACAAAAACAATAATTCAAATTACTTTTCAACCATCGAATTGCTATACTATATTTCATCTATTCATATTATACAGAGAGTTCAATAAGTAAGGAAATAGGTCAATTGTTACAATCAATAAGAACGATAGAAACCCTTTCCTTTACTTACTGAACACTCTATATACGTTCGATGAATAAATACATCATTTCTTATAATTGCTCTAAAAAATTTTTATAATAAAATAACTTTTGTTTATTTATGTATTTAGCTGATTTTGGAATACAGTGAGTTATTTCGATACTATTCCAAAATGTCTTGACGCAATTTTATTACTTTCAATTTATACACAAAAATAAAAATCTTAGGTAAAATCAGAAATATAACTTTATTAGTTCTTAACAAAATTTGATTGATTGATTTAGCAAAAGTTGATTGCTTCGATAATAAGTTTATCATAATTAAAGAATATTTCTAATGTAATAATATTATTTAATATTATAGGTAAAATATACAAATTCGCTTAATCAATATTTACTCATAGTTTATGAACTCAATGAAAAATCGTTTTATTGACTTGATTTCACCCAACTGAAGTTCTGGCTCATACCTGACGCGTCTATTGGAATTAGGCCTTTTGTCCATCTTTATTATGGGTAGATAAACTACACTGAGCAATATTGATTAATTAGAATAGAATACATCAATACAAAATTTTATTAGCATTTAATAGTTATTCGATGCTAATGCTAATGAAACTTATAATTAGATCTTAATGAAAGATAAAATTATAAAATGCTCTTATTTAAAAGTCATTGCCGATAATAGATGTTGGATATATAATTTCATTTTGATGTTCAACTAATTATACTCAAAAATTGAGGCCAAAAAAACTATAATTTTAATTCACTAAATAAAACAGATAATAATAAATCGAAACACGGCAAAAATGCAGTAACGGCCCCTCTCCCAGAGGTGACCAATGAGGATGCGTCAGGTTGTCAGACGGCAACATTTTGTAAAAAAGTATGAAGAATAAAACTTTTATACCAGCTAGACAAATTGCGAAGTAATTGTTTCACTATACATAAGTACAGGTCTACCCAACGCTTGTTCTGTTAACAGTGTAGGGACATCATCACTGAAATCTAGGATGGAGTCATGTATATTGAAGATAGATAGATACAGTAATAAATACATAAAATAATTGTCAAATGATATTTAATGCATAGATTAAAAACTAAAACAAATAATGCCATAAATATAATACTATTTTCTACATGGTAAATAATGAAAATAAAATAGTTGATTGAAAAAATATATAATAGCATGTAAAGTAAAGGAAAATTATTATAGTAATTTTTTTTTATTAGTATTTTTTCTTAATAATACGAAAAATGATTCTAAAAAATATTATATTATTATTGACCATTCATTTAATATTTGGGATATCCTTTCGTGATTTACAGTGTAATTTTATGAAATATATGTTAAATTATTTTAATCATAATTACCGCTATTTAATTGAAATGATAGAAAACAAAGAAAAATATGACGTGGATAGTTTAAGCAAATATGGCAATGCAATAAAAACTCATGGCGAAATCGTATTAATAATGTTAGATATTTTAAGGGAAGCTGATAAAAATTTTTACTCGTCAGATTTGATATCAGTCAATTTATACATAAATAATGTTTCTGAGAATATAGATTTCTATGCTAAAAATGGTAACGGAATATTTGATTTGTCAGATAAAATTTCCAGTATTATTAAAGGTTACAAAATGCATCATGAGTTCTTTTCAGATCATTTAGAGCTTAAAATATTTAAACATTGCAGTTGTACCACATTTGACGAAGTATTTATTTATTTTCCTGATTACAACGAATCAGGTGAATATACTCTTAAAAATTTTCAAATTGTTTCAAATAAACTTAGAAACCGATTGTTACAAAGTGATAAACATCAAAACGACACCGATGAATATATTAAAAATTTAAAATTTAGTAGAGTATATTTTTATTTTAAAAAAGCTATTAAAAGGTGTGAATACTGGGAATTTTTACCAAAAAATTTATTATTTTATGACTTTATGATGAATAATCGCGAAATTTCTGAAAAAGATCTTATAAGAAATTCTCAGGATAAACAATATCCACAGTTAATAAACGGAAGAATTCAAAATGTTTTAGATTTTATTCGATTTGCACCACTCGCTATAATTTGTCCCGACGAAAGCCACTTGACCCTTTTTGATATATTTAGATTTATCAAATATAGTTTTTTCACAAAAGATATACAAGTATTTCATGTACTTATAATGACTGCAACATTTCGTCCTATTGCTTTACTCGTTAGACTTTTTATCAATATTCTTAGGTCCTCAATAGAAGTTTACAATTTTTATAGTAACGAAAAAGAAAGTTTAATATTGTATCATAATATTATTTTTGTTGGTAATAGAATAATTGAAATTTTTCAAGATTTTGTTAATTTGAATCTCTTTGGTGACGGGCCGGCTGATGTCTTTTTTACATTTTCAAAAAAAACTTCTAAATGTCTTAAATATTTCATTAATAAAGATAAAACAAGTGTCAAGTTTACATCCATAAAACTGATGCATTCATTAAAATCAGTTTTTAATTATAACAAATTTAATTTTGATAATATGTATGAGTATACTACAAAGGATATTATCAATAATTGCTTTAATGAATTGACTGTAAACACGAAACATGCTGAAACATTTATAAGAAACTTAGAAGAACACAAAAAATTCTTTGAAATAACCAAAAAAACTTTGAATATTAATCACAAGTTAAATAATACACACACTTATGTTTTTAATAAATTTACAATAAGTAAGTTTAATATAAATTTATTTTAATTACTAGTTTTATATACTCTGAACTTAAATAATTTAATTATTATTATTTAAAACTAAAATTTTTTCTTCAATTATTAATTTTTCTAAATTTTCCTTGATATATTTTAATAAGTCTTGTAAATATCATTATCTTATTAAATGTGACTTTTATTCTCTTTCATAATGTATCATATAAAAATAATAATACCGTCATCTTTTTTTTTTAGATTTGTTATGTCAAACTAAAGATATTAACACATTATCATATAAATTCAATGATGAATATGTCACTCAAATTGTTGATTACAATAAAAAAATTACATCTGATGATGATGAAAATAGAAACAAATATATGAGTAAAGAAAATTATCCTGATGATTATTTAAATAATAATGATAACTGCGATTACTATTGTTGTTATCCTAAATACTTAAAAGATTATATATTGTTTATATAAATTTTACACAATTTTTATATTTATAAATTATTTTAAAATTAATTTTAAACATAGACTATATTATACATTAAAATACCTTAAATATAGTATTATAATTAGGGTTCGGATTTAAATATCCAAAAAAATCTACTATACAAATATTTTAAAACAAAAATATAATGTAAAAACTTTAAATTATTTTATATGTATACAGTTATCCTATTGTCATTTATTGTTTAAAATATTTCCAAAAATAATTTATACATGGAATGCGATTTTTTTTCTCTTAACTTCTGAAATAATAAACTATATTTATATATTTCATTTAAATATGAAATTTTTTTAATTATGTGTAATCGTACCAACACTATATCTCCGATATTAAAATTAGTGTGTGGACCTATGCGGTCATGACGTTGTTTTCGAGCAAATGCTTTGTTCTTTTGAGATTGACGTGCTATCTCAAACTTTGTTTCGAGTGGAATATCAATACCTGGTGGAAAATCTATTATAGTTTGAATCAATGACTGATGTTTCTCTGGACAGAAATGTTCAATTGGATTAAAACTAGTGGACTCGTGAATGGTATTATTCAAAACCCACTCGATATATGAAACGTAGCGAGGCCATTCAGCATGATACTCAGAACAATAAGTACGAAACAAGCGTCCTAGTTCTCTCATCACCCGTTCTGTTGGATTTGACTGTGGGTGATAAACACTAGTCAATGTAGGTGGAATTCCAAGCATCGATAACTTAGACTGCCAAACTTTACTAATAAATTGTTTGCCATGATCAGAGATTATAATTTTCGGTTTACCCCAATCCGGTATATAATTATCAATTATTCGATTGATTATGGCAACACCAGTAGCTTTATTTAATGGATATAATTGAACTTATCGAGAAAAGTGATCCATTACCACAAACAAATAAGATACGCCTTTCCAACCAGCAGGCAATGGCCCATACATATCAACAAACACACAATCATTTGGAGCATTGTATTGAATATTTTTCATAAGTCCTTCGACTCTACAAGTTTGAGGTTTTGCTCGTTGATACAAATCACAAGAAGACAATAATCGCTTAACAATGCGGTCCATATTCTTCCTCTCGAATAATTTAGACTGAAGAAGATCTTTTTGGATATCTAAGCTCTTTTAGATTTCAGTAAATAGCTTCCGATTATCATCATTAGTTCTTTTAGTATCTTCATCTCTAGCTTTCATTCCCTTGAGAAGTTCAGACAACATTCCACCCATTTCAGATAAACTAATCTCTCTCTTCTTATCAGTCACTTCCTTAGTTTTAAGAGTATCCCGTAACTGCTGATCACTTTTATCACTTCTCTCATTCTTTTCATGAGCAGGAGATGAAAGAGGATCTATGCCCAGACAATCTGGAGGTTGAGTATGGCGCTTGCCAGCTCCTTCCGCCATGATGAGAAAAGATAAAATAAAAAACGCGTTTGTATAAACAAACGCTAATCAAATACGAAATTAATAGTCGTAGACAGTAGATCAAAGTACCTTACTGGTTACAACAAGAAAAAAAACAAAAAAAAATCAGAATAAAGAATCAAAATTCTTTTATTAATTGAAGAAACAATTTAATTAATTCAAATGAAAAAATTTGAATATGATCAGATAAATTAGAAAAGTCAAATAAAACGAAAAGAAAAAAAAATAAATCAATGTTGTTTATCACAACAAATTTGCTTCGGTTTTATTAACAATAGCCCGTAGGTATTATTAAACGTAGATAGGGTGGACGTGGGCTTGAGTCGTAACAGATGTTCGATCAAGCAAGCGTGCCCTATACAACGAGTCGTAATAAAACTTAATCAAATAATGATTGTGCTGAATATAGAAGAAAAATCTAGTAATTAGGGTTATCCACAATCACTTAGATTTACAAAGAACTGATAAGATGGCAACACCAAATCAAAAATAAATTATATTATATTTTATCTATTTTGTTCAGAGATGTCTGTTGGCCATTTTAGTATTAAGTGACCCCCCCCCCCCAATCCACAATTCTACGATAATTTATATATATATATATTGTTACTTTAATATATAACTCCTTGTATTGTAATTCTTATTTTTTTATTTTGTGTAAGTACCATCCTCTTATATATAGTCCACTCCCTATTTCTTTCTCGGGCATAATTAAATAACCCAACTGAATGTTAACTAACCCGCACATTATAACCGGGCGTTCCGTTCAAACAAATGATATCAAATGAAAGGAAAATATCTAAGGTTTTAATATAAAAAACGGTAGCACAGTGGGGTCGAGGCACAATGTAGACAAGGCATAGATGGGACAAGTATAGATGATATTTGACAATGATTAAAATCACTATCATAAGAAACGATTCGATGCAAATCTGTAGATAGTGTTTCATTTAGAGAAATTGCTGGATTATTCTAAAAGCAACATGAACTCTTATTTCTTTAATTATATCCTGATTAGTAGTTCTTTGATTTTAAAATATAATATATGAATAAATACTAATTATAATTATTAAATTTAGTATGAAAATAAAAAAGTAAAAAAAATTTAATAAGTTTAATTTCTCATGTCTTATGACCTTTATTCTATCTCAATTAAATTATATAATATTCATGAAAGTCAATATATTCTCCTAATAAGATATTTTAAAATAAAATAAAATACAAAACCTAGAATTTTAATAGAAAAATAGCATATTTTTGAATACGGTAGCCATTTTCGCATAGAAGATAGTTCGTCAGGACAAATTTTTTTTTTTCATATTATAGTGCATTAAATAAGCTTTAATTTTATATATGTTTAAAGGACGCAGTATTTCCGAAACACTTTTAAAAGTTTTAGTATAAAAAAAAATTATGTTGATTTGTTTATTTTTGAAAATGTTATGGAATTTTCACACAAAAAGAGCATTTGATAGCCATTTTCACCATGAAGACAAGTCCAGAGGTCAAATTTTTTTTTTTTTAATTAAAGTGTATTACATTAGCTTTAATTTAAGATATATATATAAAAGTGTCAGACCTTCCGGAACATTTTCAAAAGTTAAGTTGAAAAAGTTAATTTTTTGTGAAAAAGTTGTCTTTTTAAATCCCTCTCTGTGGGCAGATAAAGGGTCAAATTTACAAAAAAAATATATCAAATGATAGGTAAAAACATCAAATATCTATAAAAAATAAATTTTATTGATATGTTCATTTTTGAAAAAGTTACGGCACATTTTAGTAAAAAAAATTGAAAAAATTTCGAAAATTAACGATTTTTAAATTTGTAATTTTTTTGGAGGTTTCCCCCATTTGCGGGGAACGAGGGAAAAGTTTTCAATTTTTAAGGGTAATGTCTTCAACTAGATACGATTTGTGATCTTTTGACGTATTGTTGAAAGAAATCGGTCCAGTGAGAGCTGAGAAAAAGTGGCAACAGACATAAAAAAAAAAA